AATAATATTAGTATAGATTGAAGGTTGGTGAGAATAATATTCAAAATTTAAAACCTGACTAATACGAGGGACAGAGTTCTTGCAGCTTACGTGTTCGTAATGCGAAAGTGTGGACACTTTCTTTAGTTAGTTTGGAATTAAGCATATTGTAAACACTTTATCCTAATACTTTGTGCATTTCAAATCGTGGTATACAAGGAAACTATCTTAAAACAATCGTTATTTTTTGGGCTCTTAAGTAGTCAGGTCTTCAAAATTTTTCATAGATTTGCGTAAATCCATTCAGGAACAAAACGCAAGCAGACCTCTTAGAGGAACGAATCATTAATTACTGGACATAGAAAACAGAGTAACCATGGAGTTTATTGTCGTTCTTCTCAATAGGAATCTACACTTTGGAACGAGCAAATAGCTTCACTATAGGACTGACGGACAGACTGACAAGCAAAAAGTTAAACCTCTTAAAATATATTTTTCTTTTTTGGTTTAACGTTCAAAAGTGCTCACTGTGGTCTATTTAAAATAAATGAGTTTGACTTTGACATGTCAAGACACTTAACAGGAAAAAAACAGTCAATATTCATCCCCAAATTCAAATCCCTAACAACTCACAGAAGACTGCCAACGCACTTGTAAAACCTATGGTAACGCAAGTGACCATGGGCGACGCTGATAGCTCACAATCAAACAATACGTCTGCAAAAAAAACACCAAAGAGGATTTTGAAGATGAATAATAAAACCACTCTAAATAAGGTCAAAACAACAGTGTAAACTGTATAAACAGGGGTAATTTTGAGGTCAAACGTCGTCACAGGGGTTGTACCCCATGGTACATGTTGAACAATTTTAATTAGCCACACGGGCAACCGTTAGGAACATATGCGTGCTGTATGGGGACGTTATGGCGTTCAAATAGCTATGGTGATATTAATAAAATTATTGTTTTTCGTCCGACATTGATAGGGTTCCGCAGTGGCTCGTGTTTGGTGGACGAATGTTGCAAGATTTTCAACAAATGTTTTTTTATGATGCGCAAACGAGCAGACGAATTACCTGATGGTAAGCAATCAGCGCCGCCCATGGACACCGCAACACCAAAGGAGTTACAAGTGCGTTGCCGGCCTTTTAGGGATAAGGGTTTTAGATATTTAAGGATTGGGAAGGGATAGGGCGACAGTGAGGGATTGGACCTCCGGTAACTTCACTAATACGGCGAAACAAAACGCTGTGCTTATTTCACGCCGGTTTTCTGCGAGCCGCCGAGGCTTTCATTCGTGCCGAGGCTCGGCACTCCCACACTTAAATGTTTTTAAATTAAGTAAGACTTCGCTTATCTTGTTTCTATCTTGTTTTAATGTTTATTATTAAATTGCATTTATAAACGTTTGTATTGTGATATTTTTTATTATAAATTCAACTAATGGCTTGTGATAAATCTCAATTAGGATGTCGATTATATCTCAAATGCTTTGTTTTTAAAACTTTCAACAAATTGTCACAAATTTTGCCAAAAGTCTACGAGTAACACAAGTTAAGTCACTTTGTATGTAGTTTTTACCTGTTGCAGTTATATGTCGTAGGTTCGAAACGTAACAAGAACCAAAGTGTCTTTTTCCGAGTTATATGTACTTTCTATGATTATTTAGACACCAATGACATACGGTGAAGGTAAACATCGTGAGGAAACGTGGACTTATATCTAATCTTTAATAAATTATAAGTTTGAAATCGCCTATTTGTCTTGAGGAAGTGTAACGATTAGTGCTCAAAACCTTCTCCGTGTGAGAAGAGGCCTTTGCTCAGCAGTGGGCACTTATAGGCTGATGATGATGATGATGATGATGGGAGTTAGAGACAGACAAGACACCAATACTTTTGAGTTCCTATTTGACTTTTATCTGTAATAACTGTTGGTAACCTTAATAAATAAAACGTAGCATGTTCCGAATTTTAAGTTTATTCAAATAAAAAAAAAACCAAGCAACGGTGTTCCTCAGATTTACAATGGACTGTTTACAATTAAAATTCTCCTTACTTCTTTAGGTATTGTTGCTTTTAAAATTGCACATACTTAGCAATCAAACCCTGATCAAAACGAAATCCCAACCCCAGTAAGAACAATGCCGCACGAACACACCACTACCTGTGCTCAAAAAACTTTTTTCCAAAAATAATTCGACCATTTTTTACAACAGTGATACTCTGTCTATTATTTTGTCATAAAATACTCTATCAAAACATTTTTGGGGAAACGAGACGGATTCGGGTGATTAAACTAGTGTTTTTTTCTGGTTTTTTGGAAATAGCAAGCCGACACGGTTTGTGGGAAGATTAGGATGTACATGGAATATGAAGATAGCGTTCTTATTTCACGTGGATCAATAAAAATTTGTGTGATTAAACTTTGTATAATCTTATACATAAAAATGGATCGCAAAATGTGTTGGTAAGCGCAGAACTCAACAACGCCTGGACCAATTTTGCTAATTCTTTTTTTGTTGTGTTTGTTATTGTCAGGAGAAGGTTCTTATCTAAGAAAATATTAGAAAAGTAGAGGGGAAGATTAGGAAAAAGTGCCCCTTTTATAGCGAGATAGTTGGACCCGTGCGAAGCGGGGCCGGCCGCTAGTTATAATATATGTATATAAATATAATTGACACAATTGTAGTAATTAAAACTCAAAATCATTTACCCCACCCCAACTAAACCATATACAGGTGCTTTTGAAACGTCAAAATAAGTCTGTCAGTCTGTTTCAGTGAAGCTTGCCTAATTTAGATAAAGACCATTGTTGAACATCAGCCTCGCCTAAAAGAGCTAAAATCCACATGCTGCATGAGGTTGAGGATAGGTTAGAGTTAGAAGAAGTCACAAAAAGATTAGAGGATTTTACTCCCCGTTCCTCGTTGACGGATCGCCATTTTATGAAACTACTACGGTCTTTTGTCAAAAGTCACATGATTTATTTCAATTAATCTATTGAAAGAACCTTTGAAGGTCAAATAAAGATTTACTTAAAGATAAAAATTTAAAGTCTGTCGGTCAGCTCTCTGGTGAAACTATTTGCTCGTTCCAGAGTGTAGATTCCTATAGAGAAGAACAGAACGAGCAAGAAACTCCATAGTTAGGTACTCTTTTTCAATTAGTTTCCTTCACGGTTCCTTTTTAAATAATTCCTTCAAATTCATGTTTATTATTACAAAGTAAGAACAGTGTAACACTTCGCATGTTAAACAGAAAAGAGACCTCACTCAAAAAATAAAGTATTTCAATCTTAAAAATTATGCTTCAATAGATAATAAGATTCAATTTTGGAATATCCTTATTTTTGAGTTAGTCCTTTTTTCTATTTAACAAGCGTAATACGTATTTAGCCAAAGATATTTAGACAGCTTGGAGTCTGTTGACCACTTCCAATTGAAGGCGCCCGTTCACGAACATGACACATACCTACAACAGCACCGCCTAAATTTCAGCCGGGATTGCGATTTAACCGCAATCAGTCACCGCGGCCTAGGCCCAGAGCAAGAGAAGGAACGCGGGGGTTTTTAGTCAGTAAGAGTCTGACACTATCTCTCGCTTAACCCTGGGCGGGAGAAGTCATTTGATGATTTTCCTCTGACAAAAAAAGCACCGCCTAGATTAATTTTATAGTATTGCAGATATTGGTGTTAAATAAATCTTTATATTGGGCATCTCGGTTGCAGATGCCATTGACAGTTGAAAAAGTCTGGAGGTCACGTAAAAACTCACAAAAACGCATTCAAAAATTCTTGATGTAAACATTGCTTAATACTATGGTCGCCTTCCAAGGGTCAACACACGAGGTCCATCATTTTGCAGTTCCCGGCGCCAACAAAGAATTTTTCGACACCCCACTTAACTTTTTTCAACCCCTTAACAAGGTCGACAAAAAAGTGTCAACGGGTTGCGCAGGCGACGATTTTGATGAACGACTAACGGATCAACATTATCTAAATCGATAAATAATGACAAAACATTTGTCACCTTATTTTGACCCTTTCGGATACCCGTTGATTTTGATTTTGATACTGCGTGTTGAAATTTTTGAGGGTAATTATTTTGAGATAAAAATTTGGACCGGTTGATTACTCCACTTGAGGAAAAATGCTACACAAAGGAGGTAATTGCCCAAATCTGATATCAATTTTTACACATCGGAAATATTATCAATCCCTAGTTATCTAATAGTATTCAAACTGCTAATACTTTGAAATGTATGAGCCATCTTAATTTTAAAAAGGTAGGTAGTAGTGGATTATTCAGAAATAAATATCAGGAAGTTGCCAGTAGGATCTGCCTGAAATATGCTATGTAACGAGAAAATATCACATTGCCTAGTGCGAAGCGAATCTATATTACTTCAAATTACCTACAGTCTAAACTAAGAGTGGGAAAGCTATGGTTCGTCACGAATGGGCCGACTCCATCGGTGTGATACCGTGGCCTCAAAGAAAACCGACATGAAACAACCACAGCGTAAACAGCGTAGTCTTTCATCGTGTGAGTGAGGTTACCGAAGCCCAATCTCTCGCCTACCCCCCTCCTTCCACAAAACCTAAATCCCCTAAACCTGTGATTCCTATAAGGTCAGTAACGCACTTGCAGCTCCTTTTATGGTTGGTGGTTGTCTATGGGCGACGACGATTGCTTACCATCAAGTAATCTGACAGTGTGTAGCGATCAAGCGCGAACCTATAATCAATAAAAAAAAGTGTTTGTCAAAAACCGAAAACAAATACGCAGTACCTATACACTCAGTAAAGTAATATTTATATCATCTTCGCCAACTAAGCTTGCTAAGTGCAGTAAAGGTACAAGTAGCGCCATCTATTAGAAACCTTTGTAAACCGTATCGGACGTTCCTATAGTTTATAGTAATCTGTGGTTCCAGACGTCGGGTTCTTTTTTTCATTCCACACAATTTTAATAGATGGCGTTAAATTAAAATGGAATAAAATGAAACCAGTAATAAAATAATTTGCTTAATTATTTAATCAATTCATTTATTTATGCTAAACATTACAATTAATTATTCTTATTATAAATCATCTAAATGCCTCATTAATGTAACAAACGTTACAATAGTGTTGTTAATTATAAACAGCGTTCTATCAGTCTCTTTTTGGAACTTGTAAATTAGGTAAATGGTACCTAAACCTATTCTATGACGTCATAGACTTAGTATGTGAAACCTTTTTGTTCCAGTTTTTCCCTCACTTGCCTTGGATCGGGCCAGAAGATCATTAGAATTGTTGATCCTAGAACAAAGCAAAAATAGATTATTATTAAATGTAACGTTAAATATTCTTGTACTTAGATTGGTTACTGTGAGAAAGCCATGTACATATACTTCGGCACGAATGGGTCGGCTCGACCAGAGTGATATTACGGCCTTACAGAAAACCGGCGTGAAATAATAACAGTGTTGTGTTTCGCTGTGTAATTGAGGATATCGGAGGCCCAATCCGTGCACTTCCCCCATCCCTCTGAAATCCTAATCCCCAGAGGCCGGCGATGCACTCTCAGGAGTTGCGGGGATAGGCGGTGAAGATTGCTTTCTATCAGGTAATCCGACTGCTCCTTTGACGAAATATCGTATAAAAAAGCTGGAGAAAATATCAACTTAGTTCTTTTATACTAATAAATCTTACCAGCAGTAAATACTCCGAAAGCTGCGAAGGCCTCATGGCAGTGCAGGTCCAGTGTGGCTCCGAGGAAGTTGGAGCCCACAGCAGCACCCGTCCGTCCCACCATATACATTACACACATCGCCATAGCCCTGTGAAGGTTAAATAAACATTAAAAACCTAACGGGTACCTAGTAATCTAGTACCTAAATAATACCTAATGTCTACCTAAAGGAAGGAGGACGGAAAGGGTTTGACTTAAATAATATGGTAGTCCCAAATTCACAATCAATACTCTTATAATATAAAAATCTAAATGATTTACTTTTGACTTAGAAAAGTACACCATTGTATTCTGCCGTCAATAGCATAGTTGCAGTAAATACGCTCTAGACACTTTTGAGAAAAACGCGGTTAAAGTTTTGGCTCGAAAATCTTCCATAAATCCTTTGTTTGTAATCAGATAATGATGGTTGATACCTTAAATGAAAGAGGAGCTCAGCCTCTATCTATTACTTATTTAGACACGATTACGGAGTTATTGAAAGACCAAATAAATTAATCATTGTTGTTATACTAAGTATTTCTTAGAGGCTCTCTGATAAGGAACACTTAGCATAAACACAGTAAGTGTGTTATTTACTGTATTTATGCTAAGTAACCATACGAATTTATGTTTAAATATAATATGGTTCAAAAGTTTTATTATATCAGGCTGGTGATAATACAACAATTAGTGAAAAAATGTATTTAAAAATAATCAACTAGTGGGAGGCCTGCCCACACTACGTTTTCCGGTCCTTGGTCGCCACTCTAGGACTTTTCGGGCCCATCAACCGTCCGTGTTTCGAGCGACGTGGCCTGCCCATTGCTACTTTAGCCTGCAGATTTTGCGAGCTATGTCCGTGACTTTGGTCCTTGGGCGAATTTCCACATTTCGGATTCTGTCGCGCAAAGAGACCCCGAGCATAGCCCGCTCCATCGCGCGGTGAGCGACGCTGAGTTTTGCAAGAAGGCCAGAAGTTAAGGACCACGTCTCAGTACTATACGTCATCACCGGCAACACACACTGGTTAAACATCCTGGTCTTCAGGTACTGTGGCATTTTCGATGAGAAGACATCGTGTAACTTCCCGAACGCCGCCCATGCGAGTTGGATTCTTCGGGCGACCTCTTTCTCGAAGTTGACCTACCTAGCTGAATGATCTGACCAAGGTATGTGTAATGGTCAACAACTTCAAGGACGTCGTTCCCAACGATGACCGGTACAGGTGCAACATGGACATTAGACATGATTTTCGTCTTGTCCATGTTCATTTTCAGACCCACCTGTTGGGAAACGACATCAAGGTCGATGAGCATGGTGTTCAGGTCCTCCAACGACTCTGCCAAAACGACTATATATATTCGCCATTAATATTGATGCCAAAGCCACTCCAGTTCAAGAGCTTGAAAACGTCCTCCAATGCGTTCGTGAACAGTTTCGGAAAAATCACATCTCCCTGCCTCACGCCTTTCTGCAATTGGATTGGTTTTGTGCAGTCGTCCTGGAGCCGAATGAGCATGGTGGCGTTTCTGTACAAACACCTAAGCACGTCGACGTATCTACAGTCGACATGGCATCGCTGGAGAGACTGCAGCACTGCCCAGGTTTCGATCGAATCGAAGGCTTTCTCATAGTCCACAAAAGCTAGACACAATGGCTGATTATATAATACTCCTCCGTCTTTTGTACTATCTGGCGAAGCGTGTGTATGTGGTCTATGGTGCTAAAGCCTTTCCGGAACCAGGCTTGTTCGGGAGGCTGGAAGTCATCGAGCCTGCGTTCGAGACGGTTCGTGATGACCCTCGAGAACAGCTTGTACACATGACTCAGAAGTGAAATAGGTCCGTAGTCTTTCAACAAAGTGCTATCTCCCTTTTTGAAGAACAGAACTACAACACTTCTTTGCCATGATTCGGGCGTACTACCTTCGAGTATAACGGAATTAAATAACTTTTGGAGGACTAAAAGTATCGGTTTCCCACTCGCTCGCAGAAGTTCTGTTGTGATTCCGTCATCGCCCGGTGCCTTGTTGTTTTTAAGCTGCTTGTGAGCCATCCTAATCTCGTACAGGCTGATGTCTGGGATATCCTCAGTATAGTGTCGTGTCAGCTTAGCTCTTGGGTCCCGAGCTGCACCGACAATGGATTGCCGTGTTGAGGTATACAACTGTCCGTAGAACCTCTCGAGTTCTCTCAGAATCTCCGATTTCAATGAAATGATGCTACCATTACCGGTCTTCAGCCTCGTTATTTGGCTTTTCCCAATAGACGATTTTTTTGCGAAGACTTTTGTGCCCTGGTTTCTCTCGATGGCCTCCTTAATTCAAGCAGTATTATATGCACGCAAATCGCGTCGCATGACTTTTGAAATTCGCCTATTGAGGTAACCGTACTCTGACATATCGGCTGAAGACTGTAGTCTCATTTCGTTTCGGTGCTTCAGGAGCTTTAATGTTCCGTTCGCGAGCTTTTGAGGCTTGTTTCGGCGTGAGGTCTTAGAGAATTCCGACCCCACTGCTCGGACAGTTTCCACCAACCCATTATTAATTGCGTGAACGGTTTCGCAATCGGTAAGGCACTGGAAGCGATTATGAAGTTGGAGTTGAAAGGCTTCGGGGTTCCGAATCTGAGCGCGGCAAGGACGGAGTGTCGACTTCACCAGACGTGACCTTTCCAGCTTGACATTAATATTCAGTATGCCCTTGACAATTCGGTGATCGCTACCAGTTTTCACTTTAGCAATTACAGAGACATTACTGAATATACGCTTGTCGGTCGCCATAATGCAGTCGATCTTATTTTTGGTTGTCCCATCAGGGCTTATCCAGATCCACCTCCTGGCCGGTCGCTTTTTGAAGAAGGAGTTCATCAGATAGAGACTCTCCCTCTCCATAAAGTCTACCAGGCGCTGTCCCCGATGATTTCGCTGCCCACATCCAAATGGCCCCACTTTCAACTCATCGCCATTCCGTATACCTTTGCGTTGAAGTCTCCCATCACAACCCCGCACATTCCCGTGCACCCTCGCGCACTCGCAAATCGTCTTCATAGTAATCGAAAAGTTTACGTAGGTATTCAAGGAATACATAAATTATACTTTCAATTGTTCCTTACTGCTTGTGTTATAAGATAAATTGCGTGACGTTTGATTACAACGACGAATTATGTTCACAGTAAAGCAACTTTACTTGCACAGTATTTATGACGTGGCACTATATCGCAGCTACTTAAACGTGCAGTAAAAACTACTTATAATTTTTATAATTAGTCCTTAGATCATATTATATGTATGAACTTCCTAAGCATGGATACAATATAGATAATTTACAGCTTCCATGATAAGTACACCTTTTTTTTTTTTTTTTTTTGTGAGGGGAAAATCATCAAATGACTTCTCCCGCCCAGGGCCGGGCAGGAGGGAGTGTCAGACTCTTACTGACTAAAAACCCCCCTGTTCCTTCTCCTGCTCTGTGCCGAGGTCGCGGTACCTCATTGCGCTTACCCCGCAACCCCGGCTGAACATCAGCCCTTTAGGGCCCCGTCTGTGGTGGTCGAATGGCTCTTTGAGGCGCGCGCGGAACGCTACGCGCCGTACGCTCGGGGTGATAAGTACACCTGACTCTTACGCTACAACTGCTGCCTAAACATAATCACAGGATGGCTATATGCTCTGTAAATAATGTTTAACCTCATGTTAGATCTGATTACGTTACTAAACATAAATTCAATATCGCATCGAACTGTCTTTGTAGTAAGTAATCTGAAACCTACGCTTAGGATCAATACTAAGCATACATGCAGTATCGCGGCATATTGTTTTTAAGACTAGACCACTCATTTAGTAAATATTGGGAAACTGCTTGGGATCAAAACAGTATATCTTCTTAATGTTTATTTGCTAGGCCCAAATTCAATTTTAATAAAGTAAATGACTTAACATATTAGTAGTATAGTAGTCATACTGTACTTATGCTGAGAGACTCAGAACAAGATTTTTTACCGTAAGTGTGCCCACTGTAATAATGCCTTGTGATGTAAAAAAAATGCTCAACTTACTGCAAATTTTTAATTGCTAAATATGAATTAAAAAACGATAGAAATAAATGAGTAAGATGTATACGTAGATCTCGTTCTCGTGATCACGTCTGTATATCTAACTCAATTTTGACAAAAACCCGACTTACTGCAACTATGCTATTGACGGCAGTATTGTAATAAGTATTTATTAGAACTTCATGAACTGGATGGTTTTGCCCACATAATAATATGTAATAAAAGTTTACGCACACGCCAATAGGGATACAATAGAAGCACATAACACAAAAACAAATCAAACACCATGTTTCATTCCTACACGAAACTACAGTCGATAAGCTCCTCAGAATAAACTTCGTAATGAAATAAAAAAAAGAAATGTAGATATTTTTTATTACAATGCTTAAAGAACTCTTATGCTCTCATTCCATTTATTAAGATATATCCAAGGCTACTTACCTCAACTGCGTAGGGAACACATCGACGGCAATAGCCGCCAGGATGGAGGCAGCACACCCTGAGCACAGGCTGATGATGAGCAGCACCGTCGCCGCTATACCCTCAGGCACAAACGCTGCTCCAATTGTAGCGATGCCACAGATAAACATTATACCACCTGTGATAAATAAAATAAGTGGTCATTAATCATTTTATATACTTAGATACATATTTACAATTCGGCGAAAAAAGGAATTATGTTTAAAAATAAAAAAGATTTTTTGTGAATTTTGGTTATGCATAATTATTTTGCACCGATCGATTTTTTATATCCTAAGGAAAATATTCAGTTTCTCTACCTACCTACTCTATTGTGGAAGAAATTATGAACGTATGACGTCCTTGCAAAAAAAAGCTAAATTCAGGTACCAATAATTTTGTTTATTATCGCTTTTTCCCAGTTTATAGTCAGTATCACAGAATCTTTTTCAGTATTTTTAGCTTTATATAGGATTACAGCGCCATCTAGGACTAAATTTTAGTATTAAACTGAATTGTAATCTAGATTCTAGAAATAATGAGTAGATATCTTTGAATTATAAAACTCAGCAACCTTTCGGCTACGAGTTTATTCAAAAAATACCAGTTATGTTATTAGTCCCATGGGGGCGCCGATTTCTCGACTCCTACATAACTATAGACGGCCGCGGACCCCAACCAAACGCATGTAACGAAACCATAGCGCGATTCAGGAAAATGACGGAATTGATCAACGCCATCTATCGAGCATGTAGACAACTCGTGCAGCTAGTTTTATATACGCTACTTTTCAGCATTTTTTGACGAATACATTTTAAAATAATGGCACAATTGTATTAATTGATGTTCGAAGAGGTCAGCCTGTCCCAATGGAAGATAAGGGTAATAAATATGTGAATACTTTAATAGTAATACATAGTTAATTTTATTCCAGAACCGACAGCTTTAAATTTGGCAAAAACTCGAAGTAATTTAGAACACTAAAAAACCTTTGAGAATCGAAAGAGAATATTCCAAAAATAAGCTTAAACATAATGATCTGATGTTCGGAGTCCACAAAAAGGCATCTTTCAGAGGGTGAAAGTAGATTTTTCATGATTTTCAAAAATCATTTTGATTTTTAACAAAATGGTGAATCCTATGACATGAAATTAAAATGAAAAATTGTGTTATACTTCCAAAAAAGGCTCTACGACCTAGAAATTTTAAGTTACCTTCAACACATTCTCAAAGATTGGAAAAAAAAATATTTTCATTGTGTATATAAGTTATTAAAGTTATTTATCTAATAATCATTATGTTCTAATACCCACAGACAACGAAAACACCGAGGTCACCTACGTGTAAAAAATACCAGGAATCATTTTCTTGGAAATAAGAAAAAAATATTCTAGAATCTGCGTGTCTCTATTTATTGTCTGTGCTAGTTATTTATATATTTATTCATACATATTTACTTAATTGTACACCATATATGTATATATGACAAATTATAAATAAATGTGTACAATGGGCAGTTCGCACAAGACGATCTGTTACAGCCAACATTTGGATGAAGCTGTACTAAATAGGAGTTTGTATAATACGGCTTGTCTAGTGTACAATGTTCTATTATTTAGTTAAAGCTATTTTATTATTTTTTATCTAGGCTTATATTAAAGAATTCCTCAACAAAAACTCAACTCCCGCTATGTATTTTTAATTTTTTTAAGGGGTGGGGTAACGTTTCGACCTCCTGTTACTGCAGTGTACTCCGGTGTGTGAGACACACGGCGAAACACAATAAAAGTATAGTTTCACGCCAGATTTCTATGCACGAATGGGTCGGCTCGACCGAAGTGATACCACGGCCTCACAGAAAACCGGGGTGATTGTTTCACACCGCCCCCCTTCTATCATTTATATCCCCTCCCCAATTCTAAAATCTCCTAATCTTGGTCGGCGACGCACTTATAACTCCGCTGTTGCGGCGCTGATTGCTTACCATCAGGTAATCCGTCTGCTCGTTTGCAGTCCTAACAAACATCTTAAAAAAAACTTACAGTATAACGTTTTCTTGCCAACTTTGTTGATGAGGAACCCTATGGCGAGGTAGGTGAGAGCGAACACCGCCCCCATGGACATGGAGATGGGGAATACTGCCACTGATACCTCGGACTCGCAAGCCGCTGATTCTGTGTGCATCTGAAATTAAAAACAACAATAAATTATATACAATCTCGTTTAGGGGGCTATTACCTAATCATTAAAAAGAAGAAGAAAATCCGTATTCTACGCTTCTTAAACAATCTTTTTCTCATTTTGGATACAGTTGTTTTCAAACATTAAAATAGCGCTGCACGATTTTTATCAAATGTGAAGTTATAAAATCAGGCACAGTAGGTTTAGGATTTATAGTAGAAAAGCTTTTAAATTTATAAGTGCTTATCAACGTACCAATTAATACTAACTTATTTATTTAAAGAAAATAGTAGAAGAAAAATATTAATTATTTTTGTATTAAAACTTTTGTGTGATATATTAGATTTTAATAATGTTTATCAGTTTACTTAGGTAACTATTAAGAGAAAAAGCTCACCTGAGACAGACGAGTTTACATTATTTATAAATGTGAGCCCCGCGCGTAGCTTGAAATTAGTCGACTAACCTCGTCAAGTAGTTACGAGAGAAACCGTTTAAAAACATTTATTAAGCATAAAAATATACATTATATTTTCATTTGAAAAAATGCTAAGCGATAGGAAAAGATTTTTGTGATAGGTACTTACGCTAGCATTTACAAACTTGTCATGTATAATCTGGCAAATTGTAATACTCTTATTAGTATTACTTCTCAAAATACTGTTCAGTATATCAGGGACCCACACGTAAAGACCACTCGACCTGAAAATAAAAAAAACCTTTCGATATAACCACAATTACAGCTAACTAGTATAGTATTACGCACTATAGCATTCTGCACTCCTCATCCAATAAAAAAAATATTTGCCTGTCATAAGTAAGACATTGATAGAGTCTGCCGTGCCTGTGTGCGCGAGGCACAGCATTTATGCTAAGCGTTTTTAAATGTTTATATATGTTTGTGTCATCGTTAGTTTTACTTGTTTGTTATGTTGCTTTTGCGTCTTTTGCGTAAATAAATGGTTTTTCTTTTTTTCTAGTCTAAAATAATCACTACTAAAGCTCATCTAAAGAGTTATAAAATATAAGATTTAATTTTTATGGTATCATCATCAGTATATAAGTGCCCACTGTTGAACAAAGGCCTTTTCTAACACGGAGGTAGTTTGAGCAATAATCACCACGCTTGATCAAGGCGGATTGATTTATTTTTAACTTGCCAAAATCAAAAGTCCAGGTTTTCTCCCGATTGCAGGGGTTGCGGGGTAAGCGCAATGAGGCACCGCGACCTCGGCCTAGAGCAGGAGAAGGAACAGGGGGGTTTTTAGTCAATAAGAGTCTGACACTCCCTCCCGCCCTGCCCTGGGCGGGAGAAGTCATTTAATGATTTTCCCGTCACGAAAGAAAAGGTTTCTCACTCATGATATTATTTTCTTTCACCGTGTGTCAGTAAGTCAGTAGTGTCTAAAGTAATTGCAACTCGGAGAAGATCACATTGTTATTTGCCAGGTTTTGACCACGCAAAGTTTCTTCCCTTTTTATGTCACAGGTCGGCAAAGAGGAGACCAGCAGAGAGATAACCTGATGGTAAGCAATCGGCACCGCATCTGGGTACTCGTAATACTAAATCAGTTAGTACAAGTACGTTGCCGGCCTCTTGTGAGTTGTTAAGAATTCACGCATTTGACCTCACTTACCTACATGGCGAAATACAACGCTGCGGTTGTATCACGCTAGTATTCTGTAAGGCCGTGGTATCACTTCGGTCGAGTAGCTTACTAGTGCCGATGCATGGCTCTCCCACACTTAAAGTCTATAGAACAAACATCCTCATCCAACTTACACCATGAACACAGCAAACATGGAGATGTGTGATATGAAGACGCAGCGCAGAAGTGGGACCTTGAACATGAGCCCCACATTCTTAACAGCTCCTGCAAACCCTCCGACCTTCACCTCTTCACTGCCTGTAATTAACTGCTTCACCTGGAAAGAAGAGCAATTTTTCATCAAATCACATCATCAGAGTACAAGTGCCCACTGCTGGGCAAAGCCCTCTTCTCACACGGAGAAGGTTTGAGCTTTAATCACCACGCTTGCTCAAGGCGGATTGACGTATAATTAGAAATAGTCCAGGTTTTCTCAAAATGTTTTCCTTCGCCGTATGTCAGTGGTGTCTTAATAATCATAAAAAGTACATACATATAACGCGGTAAAGCTTACCATATTTTAAACTACATATATATTTTCGTGTATGATAAGCGTATTAAATCTGTGCCAATTTTGCTCTTAAAAAGCTGACGAGTTTGTTTGAAGAAAATAATCTTCGGAAGTACTGGTTTAAAAAGGAAAATATTTTGCTGTTGGATAGCCTATTTATCATGAATCACGGAATCCGGAGAGAGGGAGCGTCAGACTCTTACTGACTGAAAAATAATCCGATGCTTCGGCACGAATGGGTCGGCTCGACCGGAGTGTTACCACGGACTCACAGAAAACCGGCGTGAAACAACCACAGTGTTGTGTTTCGCCGTGTGAGTGAGGTTACCGGAGGCCCAATCCTTCCCCTTCCCAATCCCACCCCAGTTCCTAAATCTCAAAATCCCTAATCCCTAAAAGGTCGGCAACGCACTCGTAACTCGTCCGTTGCGGGTGTCCATGGGCGGCGCTGATTGCTTACCATCAGGTAATCCGTCTGCTAGTTTGCCGACCTATTACATAAAAAAAAAAACACCTGATCATGTATTTAAGATATTTATAATCATACCTTGACAAAAAGTTACTCTGTGTATTTGAAAATTATCACATTAAGTAATGAACAAATGTTGGATTTATTTACATTGATAATGGCGTATTAGGCAAAATTTAATCCAATGTTTGTATTGATCCTATTCATCAATATGTAATTACTGCTTCTAATGAAGTAATTAACAGATTACTACGCCTCACGTTAAATGACCCTTCCCTTTGATAACGAAGCGGATTGATACAAATAGGTTTTCCTAATAAATACTACTTATGTCAATAAAATATGGAAACTAAAGGAGTTTGACTTATTATATTAATTAATATAATAATTCAAACTCACACAACTCCTCAAAAAATAATTAATAAATTATTAAAACTATATATTACTATCTATTGCCCGCGTTTCCATTTGCGTGGAATAGTGACTTCCTGTAGATTTTTGGTAAAAAAAAACTGTCCTGTATATCCTTTCTCGATTTCAAAACTATGTCTGTACCAAATTTCACAGAAATCGGTTCAGTAGTTTAGGCGTTAAGAAAAGACAGACAGACAGAGTTACTTTCGCATTTATAATATTAGTTTGGATTTATTATTGAGACCTGTACTCAACCAATAAAACCATAAAACGTTGATAAACGCATAATGATCTTTATAAGGCCTATAGTTCATTCCATAATTAAAGACAACAATTTGACAACAGCAAATGTCAAACTACAAAATAATATGGCCAGATTTTTTAACATAGTGATGGACCCGAGTACGATGTTTTAAAATATCGATACCGTTTTTTTTATAAATTACCCTGAGCAAAACAATAAAAAGTTGCGGGGATGTTTTTATAGTATAATTGTACCTAGTTATTATTATATGAAGCTAAAAAAGGACTTGAAGATTATTACAAATTAAATGAACTCGGAGCAATATGAAGAGATCAGAGATCGGATGGGAGCGATATTACAATCTGACTGACAGACATTATATTTATAATTATAGAAACCAATACCAACGTATTTCATGGCTTAAATTATTATTATGTTTGACATTCCATCTGTCAAATTGCTGTGAGGAAATGCCAAAGCTGACCATAGTTTCTTATAAAATAATGATATCATATCAATAGTAATAGTTAATAGTTTTACAAATGATTTTCGGTCTTTCGGTTAATACCGGTCGTGGGACTTCACTATTTATGAAATGGAAAAAACATGCAACACTCGAAAAGTCAAATCTTTGTCTCTAATTATGGAACGAACTATAGGCCAATTTTGACAATTAATTTTTGTTATTTGTTATGATTCTTAATTACAGGAGGAAGTTCTTTTAAAAGTAAGCCTTAATAGCCGCTCCGTCGAAGCAAGAGCGGGCGGGCGGACCTTTTATAAATAATTACAAATTTTACCTGTTTATAATTTTAGTATAGATAAATAACTAAACAATAAATAAGTTTAAGTATTTACAATTTTAACGAATGTACGTATGAAACACCTGTTTAATCGTATCAACTTTAATATGTTAATACTCACAGGAAAATCTTCCATTGTCTGACCACTGTTCCATGCATACATCATAGCCAGGACAGGCAGGGCAGCATCAGGGCCCTTAGCAGCGAGGAGGTACCGAGGACTCTCAGGTAGAAACAGCAGGATGACTGCCGCAGCCAATCCTGGGGCACACCACGACCAGACGAAAGCCCGCCATGGAACTATCTGCATGTATGCAAAGCTGAACGACCATTTTCCTGGTATTATTATCCAGGCTAGACCTGCAAAAAGATAATGAAGGTTAAGCACATCTTTCTTCATTATCATCATCACCTTCATCAGCCTATAACTGCCCACTGCTGAGCAAAGGCCTCTTCTCACACGGAGAAGATTTGAGAATTATTCACCAGACTTGCTCAAAGCGGATTGGCGATTTCAAACTTATAATAAAAAATTATAAGTCCAAGTTTCCTCGCGATGTTTACCTTCACCATATGTCAGTGGTGTCTAAATAATCATTGAAAGTACATTTAACTCGGAAAAAGTCACATTGCTCCTTTCAAGCCACGACGACATTATATTTTTCTTAAGAGGGCGTATTGTTTGTTTTAAAACTAGATGGCGATAATTTTGAAGCTGAGAAAAATTAATTTAAAATTATTTTACACTACTAGTTCATTAAACAACAAAAAATTGAATATTAACTAATTCGTGAACGTTTTTGACCTAATTTTTTTAGAATTTAGGTATATTAAAATGTCATCATTTCGAAGTAACTATACGATACATATTTGCTTAAGCATTTTGCATCTTGCAAAATATTCTTTTAAAAACACGTAGATAAGTAAGCTAATTAATTATAATTGCTTCAATAAATTGCTTAACTACCAATTGCATAAAAAATAATTGAAACAAGTAAATAATTTATCGTCAAGTTAACTAACGTAATAACAGTTAATAGTTCATTCTGTGATAACTGTGAGTTCAAGTTAACCCTAAGTAGTCATTGAGATAAAATTATTCTAGTTTATAAGACAAGTTTAGCCTTATCTGCCTAGATACGTAATTGTTTGAATAAATACTATTTTGGCTAAAATATCTGGGTTAACTTTATTTAGGTTAAGTGTGGAAGAGTCATGTTTCGGCACGAATGGACTCGCGCGACCCGAGTGATGTCACGGCCTCACAGTTAACCGGCGTAATAAACTTAGCGTTGTATTTCGCTGTGAGCGAGGTTACCGAAGGCCTAATCCTACCCCTGCTCCCACTTCAATCCTTAAATCCCCAAAACCCCTTATCCCCATTATGCCGGCAACACACTTGTAACTCCTTTGGTGTCCAAAGGCGGAGCCGATTGCTTACAATCAGGTAATTATACATGCTCGTTTTACGGCTTAGCACATATGGGGATAATGGTTTCGGATATTTAAAGGATTGGGAAGGGATGGGAGAAAGAAACGGTCCCTCCTCCCCTCTCCCAATCCCTCCTCAATACAGGAGGCCCAATCCTTTCCCTCTCCCAATCCCTCCTCAATCCCTAAATCTCCAAATCCCTAGTCTCTAAAAGGTCGGCAACGCACTCGTAACACCTTCGTTGCGAGTGTCCATGGGCGGCGCTGATTGCTTACCATCAGGTAATCCGTCTGTCCGTTTGCCGACTTATTTACATAAAAAAACCACATTCACGCGGCAAAACACAACGCTATGGTTGTTTCACGTGGTTTTCCACGAGGCCGTGGTATCACTTCGGTCGAGCCGACCAATTCGTGCTAAAACATGGCTCTCCCACACTTTGGTACTATATGTAATAACTCCGATTCAGATAATCTAATACATAAAAGAGATCAAACCTGGCAGTATGATGAAGGAGAAAGAGATAAAGGCGGAACTCCATGCTATGGCTGCAGCTCGCTTGGAGTTGGCGTGCATCTCACCCAGGTACGCGTACACCGTCGCACTGGATGCTGATATCCTGGAATTGTACAGATTATCTTTAAATATTTACATATTATAATAAAATGAATACGCCTGAAACCCAATCATCAAATCTCTAGCTACACTGAACTGGCTAAAAGTGTCGATCTGTGGGACCAATTGCTTACCATCAGGTCATGATCCTCTTGCCCATTAGACATCCTGCCCGTTTTGTTTTTTGATGCGGTAAAATCATCAAACGGCTTTGCTCGATAAGGAGTTTCAGACTCGTAAGAAACTAGTTAGTCTGATGTTGAAGAGGTTCTAGGAGGACTTTAGCTAGATTTTTTTAGTTATGGAGAAAACTGTACTTACAACATTTGCAATAAAAAATAGACTTCAGTTTTTGGTCCTAAAACTTACAGTTTCATATCATTTTTATATTTTTTTATCTTTCATATTTTTGTGTTGATTAACGGAGAAAATCTCTACTTACTAGTTTCAAGTCACAGCGGGACTCTTATTTATGAGCAGCATGCGGGTCAAGACGTCATCGGTCATCGCCAAAGAGGATATAACACCACAAATATTTTCTTATTATTTAATAACCGTAGAAAAGTAATGCCATCTTTTTGTAGCAAGATATTTTGGAATGTTTCCTTCACTACTTCATCGCGCAGGAAGGCATTTTGATGCGATAAATTTGGAATAATAAAGAAAAACAAAAAGAAAAAATTGCGTGCATAGAGGTCTATCACTTGGATACAATTAAATGGTAACTAGTAAGTACCGAGGCGTAGACATAGGCGACAAATTACTAATCGTTTTCGAGCGGCACTGTATGCGCCGTCAAGTGGCTATATCGTCATTGGTCATCGCATAGGAGAAGAATAAGAGTCCCGCATTTACTTGAAACTAGTAGAACTTTCCTCAATCACTTTACGTGACTAAAAAGTTGTTTTAAAAAAAATATTTAAAAAAGTTAATTTAGTAGGTATCATTTTTATTACAGTCTCGACTTAATATTGACCTACCTTAACACATTAAAGTTGAACAAGGTCAGTGACCTTTCGCAATTCTAAAAATATGCATTTGATCAAAACTAGTTCCAATTTGACCGTCAAACTTAGGTATTAAAAACTGGTTATTTTCGAAACTAAATCCAATTAACATAATTATATACAATATAAGTTGATTTATTGGTAGGTATGTTAACTTTATAATCCGAATGAATGTCTAGCTAAAATTATATTTTTATTAATTAGGTAGGTACTGATTAATCCTGTCAAGTCCTGTCAAGTCACTATAATTTAATGCTTAAATTTAAATTGAGAAACATTATCAAACATTTTTCATAACGGATAGAGAACCTAGTATTTCCTGTTACATCTTACTAAAAATAGGTCTTTACCTATGAATTTGCCGTTCTGCAGTACTGACCACTACCATTACAAATCAAAATAGTTTTTGTTACCTAAGGATAATTAATTTTGTTTTAAAAACATGGGATTCTTTTTCTAAAAGTAGTCATTTGTTTTGTTACATTTTCATAGCATTTCAAATCAAAAAAATCGTTTAAATTTTTTCATGCAAAACGGCAATTTATTTTTACAAACGCGAAACTAGATAGAGGTATTATTGTTGACCTTATGGCAAAACTACTGAACACATTTTAATAAAAATTGATTTGAAACATAATTTGATTAAAATTTTACTTTTCTAGATTTCCGTACGATGCTTTTTTATGAGATACCTACGTCTGTGAGTGACTCGTTATCTGATGGTAAGCAAACACCAAATGATTGACTAGTGTGTTGCCAACTATTTGATGATTCAAACCACTCCGTATGAGATGATGATGATGATATAAGTACCTATCAGACAGGAATGGGGGAAGAGAGGGATTGGCCTCCAGTAACCTCACACGGCTAAACGACCAACAACAACACCAACGCTGTGGTGGTAAATAAACATAGAAAGTAGATAATTATAACTAACTCGGAAAGTCACATTTTATTTGGAAGGTTTCGCACCCACTTTCTTATGTAAGAAAACCAGGTGCCTTAACCTCCGGGCGACAGAGGGCGGCTGCTAGTGCAATTAATTCCACTGTCCCACCCTGGAGCAGGAGCCAGACATTCCCTCTCGTCTACCCTGGGCAGAAGAAGTCATTTTGAAATTTTCCCCATACCCTCCAAAAGCAACGCCATATTAACCGGTAAACATTATCATTAAGTATGTATAAATATTATGTGTAATATGATGTTATTCATTGTTCGACCTAGGTCACCGACCATTATAAATAAGTAAACCAAGTTACTATTTAACCAATTTGTTGCTAATAGCATTAATTAGTTTACAGTAAGGTTCACGATTAAAATGTTGCTTAATTTGTTTAGTAACTAAATCGGTGTTTATTATCTTATTTATTAATGTAATCATAACATTATTAGTATATTATATAATCATAACGTATAGTATTAGAATATAACGTTGCACTTAAAAAACAACCGATCTCCCTTCCCCCACCGGGGCTAAGAAATGTCATAAAACCATTTTTTTATCTTTCTTACACGAAATCTTCAAAATCTGTTTGCTCCCCTTCTGTAAAACCCCAAGCGAACGCCGGCGTCCTATTGTTCTTCTATTGTGTCTCGAATAACCATGATTTTAAAAGGCAAAATTAAAGTAAGCAATGTCTTATCAGTGTCAAGGCAATACCTACTCACTTTTTAAGATCAATAGTATCAATAAGATCAATAAGAAATAAGAAATAAGAAAAATAATTATTAGTCCACTTGTTACAATTAGGTACATTAGGTCCTTAACGAAGTAACTTACAATTATAAACTATTGTAACTATGAGTGCCGGTTCATTATTTTAATATTAGTGTAATAAGGTCAATAGTAGAAAAAAAAAGACCAGAACTAATACTCACAAGCATCCAGTAAGGAATCTGAAGACCAGGAGCATCCAGACGTTGGTAGCGAACGAGGAGATGATGGAGAAGACGGCAGAGAGCAAGATGGCTGGCAGCATTACAGCGCGGCGACCGACCCTGTCTCCCAAGTAACCCCATAGAAAGGAGGTACTGATTATACCTATGATGGTAGAAATAGAACAATGTTAAAAGAAATTTTAGAAGATTTTTGGAGAAATTGGGAATCAGTTATACCACTTCCTCGCAGGAAACCAGCGAAACACAACGCTGAGGTTGTGTTACGCTGGTTGTGTAAGGAAGGTTACCGGAGACCCAATCTTTGCCGTCCCACCCACGCTCAGTATCCAAAACCCTAATCCAGTAAGTGTGGGAAAGCCATGCTTCGGCACGAATGGGTCGACTCAACCAGAGTGATACCACGGCGTCACAGAAAACCGGCGTGAAACAACCACAGCGTTGTTTTGACCGTGTGAGTGAGATTACTGGAGGCCTAATCCTTCCCCTCCCCTTATACCTCCTCAATCACTGAATCTCCAAATTTCTCATCCCTTAAAGGAGGTCGGCAACGCACTCGTAATTCCTCCATTGTGTCCATAGGCAGTGCCAATTGCTTAACATCAGGTAATCCGATAGCTCGTATGCCTGTTCTATTGCATAAAAAAGATCAGACGCAAAGGTCACAGGCACACTTAAAGAGTTCGATAATCTTTGACAGAACGACGAACCTTTTTTTTTATTAAAAATCTAATTAGGTAACATACATAATATGTTTATGTTTGAAACCCACTGAGAATGTATGTATGTTCCACAGTTCGCATTCGCTCCTTTTTTATAGATTAAGCATTTACTAAGGTTATAAAGCTAAATAGTTTGTTTCTTTGCGCTAACCTCCGGTATTACTGGTTCGAATTTAACGATTATTTTTGTGTTGGGTAGTCTATTACGGTAGTTTCCAACTAGTCAAATTCAATACTTTTATCCAAACGTCAAAAACGATACTTTTCTATTAAATTTGTATGAAAAACTGAGATATGGCGTCATAACATTTTTGCGTCAAATAGCTTACTTATTTCTTGATAATTAGCTAAATAAATCTAAAACTTAGTGTATCGATCTATCGATGAATAAAAGTATAGTTATTTTTCAATATTTTATTTTATTGAAACGTCGAATTAATTTATTTTTGACCTCGGAAACTACCCCATTATCGAGGATTTTTTTTATAAGACAGTAACGAAATTTTTTTTAAGGTTAGATTCTCTTGATATTATTGTCGAAATTGGATGTTTGTTAAAAAACGTAACTAACTAACGTAACTCCGAAAGCCCAGTCCTTCCATCTATCCTTTATCCTCAAACTCCCTCATCATTAAATCCCTAGTAATTTACAAGAGCCGACAGTAACCTCCTAAGCAATTACGAGTGCCAAATGCTTCACCACCAGGTAATCCGTCAGCTCGTTTGCCGAACTATCACATAAAAAAACCCAAAGTTTTTTTTCGTAGTAATCAATACACGAAACCTCCAGGAGCAGGTTTATAACCAATCCATCATAGTAGTCTCATTGAATATATTTTTATCGCTCCTATTATTATGATAGATCCATATATCAGTTTATTGACACCGATATTGAAACTGGTATATCAGTAACGAATAACTAGTATCGATAATATAACTAATCTTTTCGAACGATTTTATCGCAGACAGACAACTCTATATCTATACATAATTATATATCTATCTAATAAATCTTGTATTTAAATTGTACTATAAATATAATTGAGAGATATGTATCAGTTAGATAGTGCATACATTGTAATTATCACAATGCGACAGAAGAATGTAAATATTAGTTTATTACGTAATTATGAATTGCATAAGACAGGACAGACTTATTATATCCTACTAATATCTTATAATAGGTATTATAAATGTGAAAGTTTGTGGGAATGTATGGATGTAATGTCTGTCTGTTATTCTTTCACGCAAAAATGGCTACATCGGTTCTAAACCGCAAAAATGGTTAGATAACCTGATGTTAAGCCTGCAACACCAGAGGAGCCACAGATATTTTGTTGAAAATTGGTATGTTGATTGATAATAACCTTTTTTTATAATATTTCACTAGGTGTGTATTTTGTGCATGAACCAATCAATCGGGTTGATTGCTTTATCACTTTATGTCAGGTTTTTTGTTACCTAATACTTACGATAACCAAGTATTTTTAACTGTAGAAAATCCATACACTAAATCTATTTTGACTTTCATACTAAGAAAATTATGTCAAAAAATTCCTATCTTACTAATATTATAAATACGAATGTTACGATGTTCGGATGATTGTTACTCAATCACGTCAAAACGGCTAGACGGATCTGGATGACATTTGGCACAGGCATAGTATACACTCCGGAATAGGACATAGGCTACTTTTTATCAATATACCACGTGAGCAAAGTCGCGGGCGGAACCTACTAATAAATTAAGTTAGAGATTTTTGGGTCTTACCAATAAAAGCGGCAGCATTGACCAGACCCTTGTCCTTGCTGGTCAACTGCAGCTCACATTCAGCCGCTGTGATGGCGTAGCTCATGCCAACTGACTCCATGGAGACATTCAGCATTATCAGGCCGCTGGTGAACAACACCAGGTGGTTTAATCTGCCGTGTCCTGAGGAAAGAAAGGAAAAAATTATAACAATCTTATTTCAAGTGTGAGGGAGATGCTTTGATACAAATGGCATGGCTCGGCCGGAGTGATACCACGGCCATGGTAAACAGGCTTACGTTGTGTTTCGCTCTGTAAGTGAGGTTACCAAAGGCTCAATTTTCATTCACTTCCATCCCCAATCCTCAAACCCCTGATACCAACTACAAATAGCCGGCAATGCGCTTATAGTTCTTCGACATTGCGCCCTGGATGGGAGAAGAGGGAGCAGCAGACTCTTGCTGATTTTTTACTTTATCAACCCATACCTTCCTTCTTGCTTTAGGGTGATGTACATTATTCTGCTTCGCCCACCACCCCAGCTGAGGAAGAGATACTTCTCAGGAATATACTTACACTAGCTATTTTCGCGCGGATTCCCTGAATCCTTCAGATTGTAGCGTGATAGTTTATAGCCTATAAGAGCACTCAGGAACATTGTAGTTATCTGTCATTGAAAGAATTTTGGCAATCTGACCAGCGGTTCCACAGATTACCCCCTGTATGCAAGCTTACAAACTTACAAATTTTACCACTTAATAATATTAGTATAATTATATGAACAAATAGTAACCTAAAATAATATACCTATAATTTTTAGCCCTGTGGATAAGAACATGAAAACGTGCTAACCGCACCTAAACAGCATTTACAACCAATAATAATTGGCGAAACTAAATACTGAATAATGTGAATGGAGATCGACCTTAAACCACATTCAAACCATATAAGAATTCATTTGAAACTCAATTTACGTCTCCATCAAGATATTTTAGACTCTATTGCTTTTGTTATAAAAGTGACAACAGCTGCATTAAAATGTGATTTTGTTTTGCAAACATATTTTTGCTTTTAACTCCATCCTTATGTCCAAGGTGTACAACTTAAGATTCTATGTATCAGCGGTAAATGGAATGTGGAATGTCAAAGGTGTCTTATGGAAACATTATGGTAGTTTTGAGAACTAATATTTTTTGCTAGATATTACTAATGTAGTATAGGGTCTGTCTGTAAGATAATGCACATAGCAGTCCTTCTTATTAAAACGATGTCTGTGCATGAAGCAATGTAAAAAAAATCTATTAAATCCATGGAGGTTATAAAGAAAAAGGACGATAGCTGTAGAAAATAATGCCCCAAAATTACGTACAAAATAAGGGAGGCGCTGCGATCGCTAAGTTTTCTCAATAAAAATGGGCTGGTGTGTGGGCAATGCCACGCAGAAATTTCGTACATTATTCAACTAACTTCATCTACTTGCATTCATGAACAGGTAACTTCACAGGTACGACTTGTCGACGGTAGCGCGGCTGGTGGCTGAAAATTGAGCCGTTAATTCTACAAATTTTCAAGGACAGGCGGGATCGATCTTCTTCTCTCTAACCTCCATGATTCAATCACTATAGCTGTCAAAAGATTGACAAAATATAGTTTAACGCCATCTAGCGAGAACAAACGTAGTAACCACTCTGAATCCTCATTGGTTTTTAATATTTATGTAGGTAGGTAAAATTGCTTTTTCATACCTGTTCGTTCGAATGCATCTTCAAAAGTGCGTTCCACTGTTGGATTCAGTTTCTCTGCACTCTCTGCATCCTCGTCCTCCTGGTATTTTAGTCTGTCTGTCATATTATTTGACATCTTGTCTTCTTTTATTTTTTGTGTCTTGTTCTTATTGGTTCATCACTCCTTTCCCGCGCTTGTTGACTTTTGACAATCTGTGAAAATAAGTGATTTATTTATTAAAACTTACACACAATAATAATATATTACTTAATGCATTAGGCTCAATTTAGTTAGTTATTCAATATTTTACTTCTAGGTAGTAGATGGCAATCAATCCATTTCCAGATCGTTGAACGTCTATAACTAGTCAGAAAATATTATCGAATATTGATTCTAGAAGTCTGTTGAAGTAACATTGTAATTAGAGGTTCAGACAGTTCAATTGAGGACAATTTGGAGCATAAAGTGACGGTGTGCCATGCTAGGACTGAGCAACGCAACGCCGTGTCCTCAGGGAAGTTATGAACGGCCTACTCGCGCCTGGCCTTAGTCGAGGCCGTTGTGCGGAGTGAAAGGAACTGGAAAATCGTCTCTTCTTTCTATGAAGCAGAGCAAGAAGAAGGTGGAACGCATAGTAGCAGCAGACGACACTCCGGGCCGCGGGTATCGAGCGATGATCACCGGCCGCCGTTAGTGCGGATCTGCGGACGGGCTGCAAGGATAGCTCGCCGCCCGATCACAATCAGACCCGAGCGTCACGCGCGATCCTCAAAGTGCTAATAGACCACCACATATGAGACCCTACAGGGCTGATGTTCAGCCGGAGATGCGGGGCAAGCGCGGTAAGTTGCCACGAACTCGGCCTTAAGCAGGAAAAGGAACGGGGTGGTTTTGAGTCAGTAAGAGTCTGTCACTCCCTCTCGAGAGAAGAAAGTAGAAGACTTTACTTGTAAAAGTATATTTTCAATATCGATTTAGCCGTTTAAGAGCACCAGGTACGAGTACATTTCATGCATTAAACATAAGTACATCTACGTTACAATATGTCCTATAATAATATGATTTTATCGACATGCGTAACTGCGTAAAATATTATCTTTATGCAGTCAGATTATTGATTTCCTTCGTGTATTTATTGTGATGATGTAGCCATTGACGCATTTGAGGATAAAGCAATAGCTTCTTTACGTATGTTATTATCAGAGATGAAGAGTAAATCAGTGATATTTTTATTGGCAGGGCAATTAAATTGGGGCAACCGAGTAGCCTGACCTGATGGTAAGTACTCAACGCCGTCCATAGACCCTCACAACGTAGAGGAGTCACAAAGACTATATTGTTGGCGTATAGGTGGGAAATGACTCCGCACTCACTCAGGGAATAAAAAATATAATATCCTATCCTACGATCCAACTAATATTATAAATGTGAAACTTTCTGAGAATCTTTGGATGCATGTTTGTTATTCTTTTGTGCAAAAACGCTGGGCCGATTTGGCTGTAATTAGATGTGTGGATAGTTGATATCCTAGATTAACACATGGGCTGCTTTTTATCAACATACCTACTGTCTACGACTAATATTGATGATCACAATAAACCAAGCGCTGTATCACGCCTATACCCTGTGAGGCACTCCAGTCGAGCTTGCCCATTCGTACACTATATAGATTCGAACATTGGCACGGAGGAAACAGTTGAAAGTGATGGAAATTAAAGCTAGTACCTAAGGAATGTGATACTTCAATACTTCTACATATTAACTGCAATTTTAATTAAGTACCTATTATATATATAAAGTTAGTTTTTTATCTAAATGTAGACACAAACGTTATCGTTGTATAAATAAATCAAATGTTTTATTAAGTATTCTGCAGTTAGTGTTGTCAAAAGGCTTAGACGATGTGGAAAAAATGGCGTTACTCAGGTCCGAAGACTTTGCGATTCTTATCTTGGCTTTATTATTTGACTACTTATATAATATCTACATTATAAATTTGAATCTCTGTTTTCCTCCTGAAAGACTCAAGACCAACAGATTTCTAGTCGTTACGTATGTAGGGACATATTGACCTTCATTTTTTTCCTGTATGACAAATCCTTTATATCCTTATTTCCTTTATAACTATGAGATACACAACATAATTAAAGAAAACTGTTACATTCAAAAATATTATAAGTAAAATGGTATAGATAGGTTACATAAACAACATTCGATTTTCAAAAACGGCACACTTATGCACACATGAATAAATCGTATGATACACGTTAAAGTGGGATGGCATGATTCAATAATCGCGAGTGAAAAAGCTACAAATATGAAAAAGTGTGGCTAGTTAGCCACATTTTAATGTATCACTTGCTGATTGCTTGTAACCTATCTACACCTTTTTATTTATTATATTATTGGTTACATTTATGATGTGCAAGTCTAGGAACATTTAAGATCGGTATCGATCCTCAAAACCAACCTGTTTAACTAATCTTGTCAACTACGCTGGATGGATACAAAATGCACAAGTGTGTGCATAGACACAGGTGCCCTCTATGTTTCCTCAATGAGAGATATGACCAGAGAGAGAGGTCAGGCGCTAGAACGGCCACGGCTTAAATACGCTTTCCGAGGTTCGGTGGTGTAACCTCGCCAGACTTCCTAACAGCAGCCAAGTAATGACCATATTGTCCGAAAAAATAAAACCATTAGCACAACTTCAATGTACGAGTAGTTTACCAACTTTTTGGGGACAAATCATCAAATGACTTCGAGACAGCTAAAAACCACCCATACCTCTTCCAGCTCCGGGCCGTGACTGCTGCACCTTCGGTCCTATTGAGCCTCATTTGTGATGAAACAATGAATTTAGTTTAGCAAATAGGCCATAAAACGGCACTTTTACACGTCAATTTATATGTGAAAAACTAGATGAAGCCGGCATTTCCTATCTGACTACTCTGAGAAGAAATGCCGAAACAAACTCAGAGGTCAGTCTCTTTTCAAGTCCAGACAATGTAAAAATAAAATAATGTGAGAGAATTAATGAGAGATGGTCTAATGATGACAGGTTATGAGATACAGCTTCGTGACAAACAGACAAACACAAACGGATGGATGGACAGTGGACTCTTAGAATTCTTAGGGTTCCCGTTTTTTAGCCTATAGAAACCTTAAAAATATACGAATTCCATAAAATAAATATGATTGCAGATGAAATTTCTATCTCACGAAGAAGAATTTTGTCCCATAAAAATGCTTTGTCAACGTAACAATACGCATCCTCGACGATCTTTTGTATAGTCAATATTATAGTATCCATGGCACTCATAAAATATCGATAAAGCGAGGGATGGTAACTTGATATCAAACAATAAGTTTTATTCCTTTACTATTAAGATTCAATTTTCTGGGACACTTCTTTCAAAACATTCTTTGTTGAAGTTCAGAAAAAACTAAAATTTTTGACACAATGGCATGTCGAGGCTGCTCCAAGTCACTCAGGGATTATATTGAAGACCGATTATTACTAACGAATATTCGTAGAAACTGTCTAGTTAAAAATCGTTTAAACTACAACAGAATCGGTTTTAATAAAAATTCATAGTCAAAAGTGACATACCAAGGGGCTAAAAATTGCACCTTCTCCAATTCCAATAGGATTCCTTATACTAAATGTTGTAAAAACAGTGTAGAACCAATGTTTGCCTAAAAGTAACAGACAGACATAACGAATCTAACCCCAAAATAATAATGATAAAAAGTACCAAGTACCTTGACCTCATTTGTCCAGTGGAAGCATGAACGTCAGCGGATTTGACCTTGGCTTATGCAAAACTTCGATATCGACGGCTCAGACGTGTATGTTAATAAGTATGTAACACAGTATTCATGTACATATAATAATATTACAAGTCTATGCAGTGGTAAAAATCAATCAGAATGGAATTTAGAAGAACAATAGATGCGCGAAAGCCGGCGTTCGCCCAGCGTTTGATAAATTAGTAAGTAACTCAATAAATATTGCCATTTTGAGGATCAACAGTCGGGCCATCTGATTCTTTATGTGATGGGATAGATTGGCGAATTAGTTTTTGCCAATCAATTGTGGGAGAGCCATGCTTTGGCACGGAGGGGTCCGCTCGGACAGAGTGATACCACGGTCTCACAGAAGACCAGGGTAAAACAACACTGACATTGTGTTTTATGTTATCGGAGGCCTGTCTTTAAATCCCTAATAACCCACAACAGGTCGGCAACGCACTTGTAGTAACTCCTTTGGAGTTACGAACGTCCATGCGCGACCGTATGCTCGTTTGGCGATGTATGACATAAAAAAAAAACATTATTGAAATCGAATACGTTATAATTCAAAATAACTTTAACATTAATACAATTGGAAGGTCATTAACCTCACTATCGGTTATTACGTATTTCTAGTAACCTACATCCTTCAATCACATTTCAAGATAAGCAGTCATAGGGATTCGATATTCACTTCTTTAATTTAATTGTATTAAGGTTGAAGTTCGCTTACCAAGTAGTTACAACAATGTATCGCATATGGTCTATTGTTATAATCGAATGTTACTTGATAATGACACTTATGAATTAGATATTTCTAAGGCTCGATTTCATTAGGTCCTCTTTTTTTATTAGGTTGAACGGCAAACGATCCCATATACTCGCGAAACACCAGTACTAGTGTAGTGTAGACTTACAAGAGCGTGGCCTTTTGGGGATTAGGGATTCCAAGATATAGGGATGGGGACAGATTAGGGGAGAGTATGAAAGATTGGGTCTCCGGTAACCCCACTCGTACGGCTAAGCACAACGCTGTGTTATTTCATGTCATAAAATGATCTTCCCTTTTATTTGTTAAAGGGATAAGCAGACTAGTATAGAAAGATATACAAGTTAGAAAGGATTCAGCTTAATTCCTTCATCATCATCAGCCTATAAGTGCCCACTGCTGAGCAAAGGCCTCTTCTCATACGGAGAAGGTTTGAGCATTAATAACCACGCTTGCTCAAAGCGGATTGGCAATTTCAAACTTATAATTAGAAATTAAAAGTCCAGGTTTCCTCACGATGTTGACCTTCACCGTATGTCAGTGTGTCTGAATAATCATAGAAAGTTAATAGAACTCGGAAAAAGTCACATTGGTACTTGCCAGGTTTCGAAACCACACCCTAATGCATGAGAAGCGTGGGCTCCTTAATCTCCGGGCCACCACGACCTCTT